AAGCTGTAGAACTTCAACTGCAAAAGGAAAAAATGAAAATGGTGGAAACTGTTAGAGTGATTACAGGTCATGTTTTAGGCCATGGTTAGCTTGCATATGTTGTGAGGAAGGTGTGTGAATTGATTTTGGTGAAAATGCTCGAGGGAAGTGGGAGTTTGCACTCAATCTGTAGGGGCTCCCCTGTTTGTGCAGTTTCAAGGTGATTAGAGCAATGGGAGTGTTTCAGATGGCAAGGGCTCGTGTGTTAGCTTGGATTTGGTCTATGGAATGTGTTTGATAGCTTTTGTGTTATGTGTCTAAGCTGAGATGAGAGATAGCATAAGTTATGGACTTTTCTTCTATCTTAAGCAACAAAAGCAAGTTGGTGGTTTTAGGTTAGTAGGGGGCCTCCTAATGTGCTGCATAAACATCTCTTGATCAGTGTGTTATGCACATAATCTCGTGCCAATCAGATCTTTCATGTACTTGTTGGATTACAAACTTGACATAAAGTTAACCTTTTCAAAAATGGAAATTTCACTTTATCTAGTTTAGGATTAATCTTACATACAATGCTTGCACTCAAAGAACAACACCTTAACACATTGAATATGCATTAAATTATTGAGTATGAAATGGTTCAAGGACCTGTAATCAAGCATAAAGCAAACTGATTTCAAATTGGCAAGATTATGAACATGTCTTGATGAAGAACAAAAAGTGAATTTTTGCCAACTTGTGAAATTCGAATCTCTCAAGTTATGAAGTTGTTTGATGAGTTCTTGGACATTTTGGAAAGCTTGGAACGTGTACTACAATCCATCTTTGAAATGAAAATCAAGATTCCAAGTGGAAGGGTATGAAAAGTGGCCTTGAAGTAGGGTAGAAAACCTTGTCAAAATAGGTCAAATTTCACTAAGTTAAAAGATGGTTTAGTGCCCTTATTCAAAAAATTATAACTTGAGATACAAGCTTCAAATGAGAAAACTTTGTGAATCAAGGTTGTAGATTATGCAACAAGATACAACTTTCATGTTTTGACTTTTGTTTGAATCCAAATGGATCATGGTGGAAAGATGGGGCAAAGTTGGGAAAAAATTAGGGTTTTTTCATAACTTAGAAAAATTCTAAGTTATGAAAAATTCCATTTTCAAACCCTAATTTGCATTTTGAGATTTCTTGGTGAACAAGTTTCATGATTTGGCATGTTTTGATGAAAAATGAATCTTGACTCTTGATTTTGACCAAAAAAGTCAAAGTTTGACTTTTCAGTATACAGTCAAAATTGATCAATTGACTGGGAAATTCAACTGTCAATCTTGTGTACTTGGGATCTTTTCAGCTTGATGAACATGTCAAGATAATTCCATTGAGTCCTTGAGGCCATATGTGAGCTTGGTTTGCCATTGGCTAGGTCAAACAGTCAAAAATTGCCTTTGTGCAGTCAAAACCCTAAAAATGACCATTTTGCCCTTTTGATGGTCTGATCAAATTTCTTGGGGAATTGTGATCCAAACCTGATCAAATGGTCCATATGAGTTCATAATGTTGATGTGGATCAAATTTCATGAGGTTTGACTGTCAATTGGCCACAGTTGACTTTTTCCCCAATACAGCTGATTTCTAGGTCAACTGTCCAATTGACTGGGCAAAACTTGGAATCAAGACTTGAAACTTGGTATAGGTAAACTTGGGAGTCCAATATGAAGCATGAAAGTCATCTTAGGCATTTTAGGTCAAAACATCCTTAGGCAAACACAAACCCTAATTTGAGTCCACAGTGCAAGGAGAAGTCTTGAGTAGAGGAAACCCTAACTGTATCTTGATCTTCAAAAGGTCTTGTGATGAGAAAATGTTGAGGAAATGGGAGGGCAAATTTTAGGGTACAACAGACTCCATGCAACCCCTCTATGTCTTCTTCTTCGCCCATGATTTTTTTATCCCAACGAAATCTATGGGGTGGGGGTGTAAATATAAAGAATAAAACGTCTGATCAGAAGGCATATAAGCAAATCCTGCTGGAGAATAAGGTGCTATGTTCGCCAAGTTCCAGTCGAAGTGTCTTTTATCCACATGGTTTATTTCTTCCATGTAGTAACTCTAAAATTCTTCGACATTCTCAACTATTCCATCTTCTCTCCATATAGAATTCCTTTGGTGCAGAGAAGAGGGCACTGCGCCAACACCATGCATTCATTCTCTCCCCAACAACAAGTTGTAGTTTGCCTTCGAGGATATCACCATTACAGTAGACCTGGTGATGGACCCAACTATTAAATCCACTTGGAGCACACGCAATGTGTGACCAATTTTCCTTCATAGTTAAAAAGAACCATGTTGTGAGGCCTCAAATCAGTGTCGAATTTTCCAATCTTCTTCAACAAAGAATGTGGCATTAAGTTGACAGCTGCCCCACCATCAACCAGGATCTTGTTCACATGTTTAAGGTGACTTTTCATCCTTTCTTATGGTCTTTCAAAGTGTTGGGAGCATAGTGAACCAAGTGAATACATTTTTGGATAGGGAACTGGGAAAATATCTAATCCTTAAGTTTTCATTATTTGCAATGTCCTCTGCCTCAGTCAAATACCGGGTTATATGTTCGACAGTAGATTCACTAGTATCTCCAGAAAACTTTGTGAATTTTGGGACTTTCCATCTCCTTGGTAGTTCAGTTTGCAGGATATACTCTGACAATGGGGAGATGTAGTTTGGCCTTCGAAGGCCCATATTTACCCCGTTTCTTTCCATTATCCTTTCGACCATGGAAACAATATTGTTTTCTGTTGCTAGATTATCTTGTCAGACATGATGGATTACTTCATCTGCATCCTGATTCCTATTAACCATCACAAGCCTGGGGGTGGGTGGGGGGGGGGGGTTCCCTATCCCTAGGAACTTGTTGTTCGATCACACAGAGTTCGACTCGTTGTGCCTGGTTAACTTCGACCATATTGGGTGCAACTAGTTGGGGTTGGTTTACGGTACCTTCCTCTAGAATAACTCCTTGATTTTCTACAAGTCACTCTCGTCGTGGTTGTGCGACCTGTCAAACTGGCGCTTGGGGAGCATAGAAGAAATCTGCAATTCCCGCCATTTGTGTTGCCAATTGTTGATTTGTTTGGGTGTTTTGTTGGTTATTTCTGTCAATATTTTGGATCATAGGGTTAAATATCATACTCATCTGTTGGGTAAGCATATTAACCATTTCAATGTTGCTTTCATCTATTTGTTGCCTTTAAACGACTGCAGAACTTGTAGTGAAAGTGGGCATTCGTTGAATAGGTATTCCTACTTTTGGGGGTTGCACATTTCAACCCAGATTATTAACATCTGATCCCGACCCTTGTAATGAAATAAGTGCTCACCAATGGATCAATGAAAGTTGATGCAATATTATGCAAACTTTTCATCACTGGAGTTGGCATCCCATATGGTTGTTCGCGACCATTCATAGGCATCAAAAATCCAGGCACATAAGGCCTAAAACTACTATTCTTCATCGGTCTTGGGGTCACTGGTTGACCCTATGTTCTAACATGATATAATATTAGTCCACTTTGAACGTTCGACGGTATTGTCGTCGTACTCATCGTAGAGGGCATTGCTTCAGTCACATTTGTTGCGGCCGTATTTTCCCCTGTCGAAGGGGGTTGTTCTCCATGGTTACTTGGTGGATTTACCATCTTTCTAACGTATTTTATTTTGGATAATGGTTCGTTATTTCTGGCTATCCTACCATTCATCAATCTCATGTAATGGAGTATGAGAATTTCATATATGAAGAACTAAATGTAGAAAAAAAACTTTTCAAATAGACTATGAAAAAAATCTAAGCACAGGGTCCCACTAGTCTTCCAAATCTATTGTTTTGGTAAACAAGCACTAGTCTTCCAAATCTATTGTTTTGGTTACTTACATAATCGACTAGATTGATCTTAGGACATGTGTGCATAGAATTTCTTAAACCTTCTTGATAATAGTTACTTTGATGGAAATTGAAACTTTAAAAGTAATGCGAACATGATTGATAAATAATGCAGGAAAGTAAATAGATTTCAACGGAAAATGTAAAGGAATGAAAATGATGTTGAAATAAGTAACTTGGTATTGATTAAAAACCGAAATGATTCATACCTATATTTCTCAGACATTGCTTTTCTTAATAACAGTTAAATACTTCAAGAATTTATGAGTTTTAGTACAATGTGAATGTCAAGTCCTAATGCTAAGATTCTTATTTATACTACTTCGAAAGTAACGGTAATGAACAATCTTTTCTCTAGAAAATGACACGTTCTTGCTTGTATGTGCTTTGCCCTTTGAATCATCTACGAATCCGATTTCAAAGAGCGGATAAGGCCAAAATTAGGTTATTAGCCTAATTTCAAAATCTTCTTGTCAAACTTTACTTCGACCCTTTTCAATAACTTTAAGTCTCATTATTGCATTTCGTCACTTCGAAGCTTCTTTGCCAAACTTCGGTCAAAATGCTATCCAACTTCTTCGTCGAAGGAAACCCGTCTACTTTTCATAATTTCTCAACAATTCTCTCCATATTTTTTATTTATTTTGAGCGTCAAATTTACGGTTAACACAAACATTCAACAAAAAATGTTCTATACAAAAACTAATAAAAGATCACTAAAAACCGAAAATGTGTTTCCTGTAAAATATCAGAAATATTTTTCCAGAATAAATGTGGTCGTAAATGGAGCATAAGACAAAAACGAATGAATTATATGTGTGAGAGTGCTTCTGAAAATACATTCTCAAAATTAACTTAAATTTAACAAGAAAAATGTGCATTTCAGATTTAAACTTCCCAGAATGCATGGGCAAAATTGAAATTTTATAAAGTTATTTTGAATGACATAGGCTCTAGTAAAAAATTCCCCAAAATCTTCCGTATGAAAGGATAAATCAGAAAAAATTTATCGAGAAAATCTCAGTAAAGACCATTTTGAATTAAATCAACAACTTATAACAAAGTTATCTAAACAATTCTTAAGGGTCCATTTTTACAAGAACCACTTCCAAGAGAGAGAAATGAAAAAAAAGACTTCTTCATGCTTCACAACTTTGGTTTCCGTGGCCTGCAAAAAAAACAACCAATTATCCAAATATTAATTCCTCCTATTAGCAGTTATCCTAAACATTTGATCAGAAAACCAATATCTTGGCAAAAACATAATAACCAGAAAAAATATAATTCATATACTATTGAGAATATTATAGATTAAATTGGTTCCACACAGTTTTAATTATGTTGAGGTGTTCACCCTATGGGGTGAATTCAATGTGTCCGAAGTGCGAATATTTGTTGTAATGTTAATAAGGTGAAGTGCATACAGTTTCTGCTCATTGTTATTCCGAAATTCATTTTCTATAAACATCTTCATGCATTTGGATGAAAGAACTGAGATTCTATCATAACGGTCTTTTGCATGAACAACATAAGCAATATGGTAGGGGCTTTTGAGTGTGTTCAAGTCATCTAAGCTCTTGGGTCTAATGTTCGTAAAAACAATGAGATCTCCATTTCCAGGTTCATAATTTTCACCATCTTCCCCAGTGTCGGTTGTACTCTTCAACTGTATTATATGACGGAACTGTTTGAATTCCTTTGGAGCTTTGGGAAGTTTCAATTGCTGGCTACTCACAACTTCCTTGATTTCACAGAAAGGAGCTCGAGACACGGCAGACAAGCTTGGAGATAAATCGGCGCGTGTTTCCTCAAAGAGTAGAGGAATGAAAGAGTTCTTGTAATCTGTTGCTGACTCAAACGTCTCTGGAATTTTAAGAACCTGAGATGACATAGGTCTATCCAATGTTAGAACATGCAATAGTAGCATAACTAAGAATAGAATCCGTAAATAGAAGAAATAAAAATGGTAAAATAGAGCTATTTTGATTTCATGGCACCTTGTCTTCATAAAGATTTTCGTTAAGAACATCCTCGAGGGGCCATGAGAGTACAACATCTAAAAGCCTGAGAGGTTTAAGATCATCTCCCCTTGCATTACTAGTCGTCTTCATTTTTTTCCCTTTTAAAACTCAATAGCAATCATTAAGAAAAAAATTAGTATACTAGCAAGTAAGTGAAAACACAAAGATATAGGGAATGGAACAACCTAAGAAAATGTTGAACTGTACTTAGAATGTTTTGTTCAACTATTCAAGTGCACATGATCAAACTGAAAAGAAAAAGACGAGAAAAAACTTGGAGGGACAAAACTAGGATGACCATTACCGTATATGCTAGAATATGAGAGGTTAGAGGCTTAGAGCTTCGAGCATGGATAAGAAATTTTGGTGATTTAACAGTGAATCAATCTGTATATCATCATGCATATATATATATATATATATATATATATATATATATATATATATATGCATGCATGATTAAAATGAAAAAGAAGCAAAAAAAGAAAAAGAAATGAAACCTAATAGAGTTGAGGAGTATTTAGAGAAATAGAAAAAGTAGTGTAGTATAAGACCCTCTTCAATTCACACCAAGTGAGAGTAGTAGCTATAGAACTAGAAAGACACTGGTTACAAAGGTTGAGCATATTATAGACTAGTAGTACTCTTTTGAAATTTAACACCGTACATTACAAACGTCACTCATAATCTCATACTAGTATCTTTTGGATTCTTTTGGTTTCAATGCATGAATGGAATTATGGCGCATAATGTTTTGTGAGTGGAATATCAAACGGTCACACGTCTTAGCTTATTACTATCTAACACAAAATGTAGTAATAGCTCTACAAAAATTACTCCATAATAATTGTCACAATAACATTATCACTTAAATTTTCCAACGCATCATTAATTTTTTTTTCACAATTAGGGACAATAAAAAAAATAGCAAGTTTAGTACATACGTGCTCATTAAGTCTGGTCCTTTGAATTATTGGAGTTTGGTTCTTCTTCTTCTCTTTTTGAAAACTTTTTTCTTTTTACTTTGGACAAATTTTATGTACAATGCAATCAACTCATCATGCTATTTCTCTCCTCACCATGCCTTTCAGTCCTTCTCAGCCATTTGATAAATCAATCAAAGACTTTAAAATAAAGCCACGTGTCTTTTCTTTCTCATTAAGTTTCCTCTTTTCAAACATTTTGTTTTTTTATTATAGATTTAAATTTGATAAATACCTCGATCACTTAATTTTTCTTCTTGAACAGGTAAGTCCATAAATTTCTACTTAAATCATCTATGAATGTGACAAAGTATCTGTTACCTCCATTAGAATCTACCTGGATTGATCCACATACATTAGAGTATATGATTTTAAGAATAGCCTTCAATTTGCTTCCTGCATCCTTGCTGAAGTTATTCTTGTGTTGTTTCGCCTGCACACATTTCTCACACACCTTGTCTGGAATATCGATTTCTGGCATTCCTGAAACCATATTTCTTCTTTTCAAATCTCTAATGTCTTTGAAGTTGAGATGGCCAAGTCGATAGTGCCATGTCCATTCAACCCTGTTAGTTGTAGTCGCAAGGAACTTGTGCTCCATCACATTAACTTCAACCTTGAAGGTTTTATTCTGAGACATAGGAGCCTTCAAGATTAACCTTCCTCTTGTGTCGACGACTCTCATCATCTTGTCTTTGATCGACACTTTATAATTCTTTTCAACTAATTGTTTTATACTGAGCAAGTTGCTCTTCATGCCTGGTATGTACAACACATTTGAAATTATTGACCTCTTGTCATCTTTCCTCATAATCAGAATGCCCCAAATACCTTTCGCTGCTAGAGTATTATCAATTGCAAATTTCACCATGTTCTTCATTGAGGGCTTTATGTTGACAAACCAATCTTTCCTTTCAGACATGTGTGATGAGGATCCTAAGTCCAAGTACCATTGATCATTGAATCTCTCTTCATCTCTTGTTGTGACAATCAACATCATTTCTTTTTTTCTTTGTGTTTTGCAAACTTTGCATCACTTTCTTGATTCTTTCATTTTTCTGGACAATCACTAGAATAATGACTATACTTCTGACAATTGAAACATTGAATATGACTCTTGTCAGGTTTTCAACCACCACATTTTCCTCTACCTTCGACACCACCTCTTTGGTTTCCTTGTCATGGGTGTCTTCTCTGATTCAACACAATTCCTTCCTGCTTGTCTCCTCTACCATCTGAATTGTTGTAGCTTCCTCTATCTCTGTTGTCAAACCACTTTCTTTTGCCTTTCCTTTCTCTTGTTGATTGAGCTTGCAAAGCCACATAACTCTTTGACTTCCTTGTAGCTCTTTTGGTTATTCTTTGTTCATGAGATTCAAGCGTCCCTTGAAGCTCTTCTTTTGTCAGTGTCGATAAATTATTCGACTCTTCTATGGATACTACCATGTGGTCAAACTTCGAAGCCAATGACCTCAAGATCTTTGAAACAACTGATCTTATTGTCAACACTTCTCCATGTACCTTGATTTGATTCACCAGTTTTACAACACTAGTGAAGAAATCAGTTATGCTTTCACTTTCTTCCATCTGAAGCAATTCATATGTTCTTTTGTAAACTTGTAACCTTACATCTTTCACATTTTTTGCACCTCCAAAAGACTTTTCCATGATTTCTCAAGCTTCTTTCGCATATTCTACATCACTAACCTTTTCGAAATTATCTGGACTCGGACATTGATGAATTATAAAGAGAACTTCATAATTCTTCTTCTTTAATTCTTTGTGTACGGCTTCTTGTTCATTTGTCGCATCTTCTACAAGTGGTTCTGATCACTCACTCACAAGATTTCAAAGATCTTGACAATAGAAGACAACCTTCATCTTCTTGCACCAATTCTCATAGTTATCAACTTTCAAAATTTGAAGACTTATTGGAAAATGTCTGTTTGGATGATTCACTGCCATCGTGTCTTCCCTTGAATCGCTCAACCGAAACTCTTGATACCATATGTTGAAAATCCACCAAACCTATAGAGAATTTATATCAATCTTAAAGAACATGATTGCTATTAATACACAATAACAATGAAATAAAAATTAGGTTTTACAAAAATAAGGAGAAAATAAGATGATGATTTCTGCATAGTTTCTCTCTGTCCAAGGACTGCGGAAGATCTTATTCACATGCAACAAAGATCCAAATCATTAAATGCTGATGAATCCAAAAGATAATTCTAAGTAGAAAAAGTATTTTAACTACTAGATGATTTTGCATCAGCATTTAATAAACTAAGCATAAGAGACAGTTCAGAAACAAATACTTTTTCTACTGCAGAGCCACAAAAAGAATTCCAAGTCTTCAAGTAAAGATCAAAATTTCTCAGAATAAGGCCAAGTCTTGAAATGAAGTTCAAAGGTCCAGATGAATCCCAAAGTGTATGATATAGCCACTCCAAGCAAAAGAAAACACAAATTCCTAAGGTCCAAAGTCCAAAATACTACTCAAGAAAGGGATAGTAACACAAAGTCCACAAGATAAGAAGAAAGTTTTTAGGGTTTTATCCATTTTATCATCTTTTTGTTCTTTTTGAAGTAATAAAGCAAGAGAAACAAAAATACAAAAGGCATAAAGTTAAAGGTCAAAATGAAAATGGCAAGAATGTAAATGACATGAATGTAAATGGCAAGAAATTAAAGTGCATAAAAGTAAAAGTTAGATGTTAGCACAATTAATATGCCAATGCTGGTGTTTATGAGGAATCAATCGAGTCAGGACAATTGTCCCTATGTTAAGCAATCATAAGTGGACTTATGTAGAAGTCACACCTATGTGAGGTCGTTCAATGACAATTTACGTATCATACATGTTAGAGGAATGATTCAAAATCATCCTCCTAAAACAATGTAACACAATGATCAAAACAAAAGTAAAAGAAGAAGATGGAGAAGGAGAAATGATTAATCAGATTTGAAATGTAACAAGAAATCATTTATCATCAATATCAATCATTCAAACTCACAATAAAATGGAATAAACTTATCATTAATCCAAAGTACAAAAAATGATCAAATAATCATTTAAATGATAAGTTTGAAATGATGAAAATTCATGCAACCAAAGTATCATTCAAAGACCAATTAAAATTGATTAAGCATTGATCAACCAAGTCATAATCCGAGTCAACAAAAGTCAAACAAAATGGAAAAAAATACAATTAAAATTTGATTAAAAAAGGTTATTTATTATTGATACTTGATGTGTTGGAACTAACTGATGGCTTTTTTAACTTTGTCACAGGACCGTACCACGTCAGAGGTGACATACCATGGGTCAAAGATTAAAAGCTTGTGTAAGGTTCTGATGTCTGAGCAGGTTAGGTGGATTGTTGATGATTGTGGACTCTTATCATTGGTCGACTTCTCACTCATCATGCTTGACGCTTCACTCATGATTGGCTTTATTGAGCGATGACACAAGGAGACATCTTCCTTTCATTTTTCATTTGGGGATATGACTATCACTTTGGATGATGTCTTCTCCATGTTCCATCTCCCTATCCCTGGTAGATTCTTCACCATTTCTGTTATTAACCAGAATCTTGCATGTATCGCGGCTACACAAGATTTGGGAGTTACTAATGAGGTAATTCTAAAGGAGTTTGAGCATAATAATGGAACTCACTTTCAGATGTCTTGGCTTCGAAACATGTATACCAAGCTTGTGGAGCGGCAAATGTATGAGGTTGCCTCAAGAGTATACATGTTACATCTAGTAGCATGTACTATCTTTGCAGACAAGTCTCATGTTTATGTTGGTAATCGATACATGAGGTTAATTAGTAGTTGGACTTAGAGGTACGCTGCATTGATTGTCATATATGTAGTACTTAGAACTGCGACTACCTTTGAGACCAGTCAACTTATTGACTATTTGAGTATATTCCAAGTATATTAAAAATTATTATTTGTAATTTATTTCTTATTTAATTGTTATGTATGATGTTCCTTAATTTTTCTATGTTCTTTTATCAGTGGTGGAATACGAGTATTTCCCCACCATTTATGATATAAGGGTGCATCATATCTCTGTTGACTCTCCACGGGCGA